AAAGCTAAGGACTATAGCATGGGAGCAATAAAGGAGCTGATGAGTATTCCTTGGAGGTGAGTGGCTATGACATGAGCACCAATGAGTGGTGCCCGACCTGCAGGTGGGCGAGGGGCTCCCGCGGGGAGGACCACGGTGGTCCCTCTGCTCTAGGTCAGCTGGCGATCTTCTCAGCCTCCTGCTGAGCCGGGAGTGAGAGTGTCCGGGCCCCTTCGAATCCAGACGCTGCAGACAAGTCCATTGTCGTTTCTTGTAAACACACCCCAAGCTGTGCTCTGAACAATATACAGTGTACAATATGCTTCCCTTTTACCCCAGTAACCCCGTTTCTAGAATGTTATCCTGGGGTAGAAATACCTCCCAAATAAAGAAGTCGTGTTTTATACACAGAAATGTTAGTTACGGTGGTATCTGCATCAGTAGGCCCTTGTCCCATATTTATACTAAGAGAAGGGCTGAAGGAACTACGCAAGGCAATGTTCGCAATGATTCAAATAGTTCAGGAGAAAATGGCTAAGAAATTGTCTGATATCAGTATGATAGGATAGTCTGCAATCACTAAAACCATATTTACATTACAATGCTAACTTTCTAAAAAGCAGAATCCTATTACGGAAAATTCTCACATTTTTAAACAATGCATAGACAAAAGACTGAAGGAACATGAATGATGAGAGTTTCATTGGATTCTGCTTCTGGGATGATGGTATAGACATGGATCTCATCTCCCTCTAACATTCTCTATGAAACAAATACCAGGAGACCAGAAGGTGGAGAGGAGTAGCTAGGGGGTCTCAGGACTGGAGGAGTGATATGTTGATGAGTTTTCTGGTTTTTGTTTGTTCTTTTTTATTTTTTTGCCTATAGACACCACAGTTGGAGCTAAAGAAGTCAGCAGCCCAGAAACACCCATGAGTCCAGATTTTTAAAAGCCCCAATTAAAACCTGACTGAGAGAGAGGGAGAGGGAGAGGGGTGGTGCTAGGGAGGCCAAGCAGGGAGCCAGAACTTTCATCCCCACTGGCCAGCAGTGAGGCCCCTCGCCCCTAAGCCAACGAAAACAGAAGGTTTAAATAAGAACCAGAGACTTACAACATAACAGGAAAATGTCCAGGCTTCAATAGAAAACCTCGTGCACTACCAAGACCAGGAAAATCTCGACTGAATGAAAAAAGACAATCAATAGATGCTGACACCATTGACCAAAAGGATCGAATAGACCTTCATAGTACACTTCCCCCAAACAACAGACTACACCTCCTTCTCAATGGCCCGTGGAGCACAGACCAAGATGGAGCATATCCTGTGCCAATAAAGCAAATCTCAACAATTTGAAAATAATTCCAACCACAATGAAATCAAACTGGAAATCAGTAACAGAAAGATAATGGAAAAATCCTCCAAATAGGTGGAAACTGAAAATACATTTCTAAATAATCCATGGTTTAAAGAGGAAGTACCAGGAGAAATAAAATAATATATGGAACTGAATGAAAATGAAAATGCAACATATCAAGATTGTGGGGCACAACTGTAGCAGTGATGGGGGGGGGGAAATGTGATGGCACCAAATAGATACATTGGAAAAGAGAAAAATCTCAAATCAGTAATATAGCCCCCACTAAAAGACTCTAGTAAAAGGAGAGCAAAACAGACCCGCAGCAAGCAGCAGGGAGGAAATAATTAAGATAAGAGCAGAAATCAGTAAAATTGAAAACAGAAATAACAGAGAAAAATCAATAAAACAAAGAGAGAGGGTCCTTTAAAAAAACTCAATAAAATTGATAAACCTCTAGCAAGACTGACAAAATGAGAAAAGAGAAAAGACACAAATTATCGATATCCAGAATGAAACCAGGCTATCAGCAGGCCCTGTGGGCATCAGAGATAATAATAGAACACTGGAAACAACTCTACACACATCATTTTGACAACTTGGAGGAGGAAATGGATCACCTTGTTGAAAACACAAACTCTTACACACCACTCACCATGAAATAGATCATTTGAATCACCTTTTAACTCTTAAAGAAGTGGAATTTTTAATTTAAAAACTTCCCCCAAAATACCTCCAGGCCCAGATGGTTTCACTGGAGAATTCTACCAAACATTTATACCGATTCTACACAAATTTCTTCCAGAAAATAGAAAAGGTGGGAACATTCCTTCATTCATTCTATGAAGTTAGCATTATCTTGATACCAATCAAAAAAATTTACAAGGAAAACTATAAACCAATATAGCTCATGAATACAGATGCAAAAATCTGTAGCAAAATATTAGCAAATGGAATTTAGTAATATATGAAAAAAGTATATACCAAAATGGAGTGGAGTTTATTCTAAGGGTATAGGATGACTCAATAATAAAAAGTCAATTGGTGTTATCTATTATATTAACAGGCTACAGGAAAAAACAACTACATGATCATATCAATGAATGCAGGAAAAGAAGTTGACAAACTTCAACAACGAATTTGTGATTAAAAAACAAACAAAAACACACCTCTCGGAAAACTGGATATAGAGGGAACTCCCCCAACTTGAAAAAGAGCATCTACAAAGACCCTACAACTAACCTTACACTTAAAGACCGCATGCCTTACCCCTAAGTTCAGAAACCAGGCAATGGCATTGGTTTTTTGCCTCTCACATTGTGTTGGAATTTTTATAAAGCAAGAAAAGGGGGGGGGGGGGGGGGCGGGAAGCATACAGTTTGAAAAGGAAGAAATAAAACTATTCCTATTGCACATGACATGATTGTCTATGTAGAAAATTCCAAGGACTCTACCAAACAAACAGAAAGAAAACCCCATAAAACCACTCAGTGAGTTTAGCAAAACCATAGGATACCAGATAAGCATAGAAAAATCAACTACATGGTTATACACTGGCCGTGATCACGTGAAATTAAAAATGCAGTATCATTTAATCACTCACTAAAACATGAAATACTGAGGTGCAAATCTAACAAAACACATACAGAACTTGTATGCGGAAAACTGTAAAACACTAATGATAGTCATTAGAGAATCTCCATAAATGGAGAGTCACACATAGTTCACGGATTGGAAGACTCCGCTCAGTGAAGATGTCAATTCTCCCCAAATTGACATTTAGTTTTAACACATTTCCTATCAAAATCCCAGGATGATTTATTTTTAGATACAGAAGATTCTTCTAGGATTTTTATGTCAAAGCAAAGGGACTAGAATAGCGAACACAATTTTGAAAAAGAAGAATGAAATGGGAGGAATAAGTCTTTATTGTTAGGACTTCTATGTAGCTGTACCCGTCAAGACTGCCTGGTCATTTTGGAGGGATAGACACAAAGATCGATGGAACGGAACAGAGAACCCAGAATTGGACCCACACAAACCTGCCTGACTGATTTCTGACGGATACAAAAATGATTCCAAAGAGGATAGCCTGCTCAACCAATGGTGCAAGCGTTAGATGGACATCCTTAGGCAAAACCAAAGCCAAAACCAAAACCAAAACCACAAGACTTGATGTCTCACACCTTATACAAAAATTACCGGAAAAGAATCACAAACGCAAATATAAAATGTGAAGTTATGAAATTAGTAAAACTAGGAAAAACAAACAAAGGGAAACAAGTTTGAGTTGGCTCTCTCACCCCGGTAACTTAAACGTCCCGACCACAATACTGGGGAAAGCAGTCTGGGGTGACAACAAGATGCGGTGTACGGCGAAGCTGCTGCTTCCCTGTGGAGCCCGGTCCCTGAAGGTGCCACAGGAGGTGTCCCGGAACATCCCGGCAATGGCGTCAGCAGGTGTAAGCTGTGTATGGTTTCAGAGTGATGCTTTTGGGGACAGAGTTGGTTTGGGTATGAAAGTTCTGTGACCTTGAAAACAAGAGAGCCTTTTCCCTTCAAAATCCTCGTTTTGCACAATTTCACACTTAGGTTGGTATTTGTCATGCTATCCTGACAGCCTCGGGCATTTTTTACTCCTTAAAAGACCAGAAGGCAAGGAGGGTCTCTGAGATGCAGTCCTTCTTGTGGATGAGGGAACCCCTCCCCACCCAGGTGCTCGGGAGAATTCAAACACTCATGGCTGGTCCAGGCGCAGGGGACTGGCTGGGCACAGGAAGGGCTGTCACTGTCTGTCCCATGCGGGGCTGATTCTCCCCTCCGATGGTTGGCTAGTATTGCATGGAGTTGGTCTCTCTTCCTTGAAGGAGGCCCCGTGTTACCCCCCTGCAGGCCCAGGAGGTTCCCTGTTAATTCTGCCCTCAGGCCGGAGAGAACAGTCGCTCCTGCCCAGCCCCAGGCCCTGTTCTGGTCACTTCTGCTTGTGCCCCGGGCTTAGAGTGGGCTCTGCATAGCTCTTGCCCTTGCCTGCCTCTGTCCCTGTCCCCAGGTGTTGCTGTCTGGTCCCAGAAGCTGACCCAGAGCCAGGGCTCAGCTCCTGACTCCAGGCTCGCGTAGCAGGCCTGGCCCTCTCCCTGGCTGCCTGGCTTCCTTCCCGCACTGGCTGTCTCTCTGCTGCCTTGCCCAGTGGCTCCGTGTCACACCGGCTGACACCTACTGCCAGGCATCCCTCTCTCCTAGCTGTTAGTCAGGTGGCTGTGGAGTGCTCAGGGGAAGCTCGGTTTGGCACACAGCTCCATGCCTGCCTGGGTCCTGGGGTGCAATAGAGAATCAACTCCTCTCCCACATCAAAATACTGGGTGATACCTGGTTTTATTCCAGAGGAATTGCAAGGAGGAGCAATTGATCCCCTAGGAATTAGAACAGAGCCAGGCACAGATCAGGTCTTGGAGGGTCTTCTCAGGTGTCCACAGGGAGCCCAGTTGATGACAGGAACCCTGGGAAGATATTATAATTGGAGGCTCTGAGGACCATGGCCAAAGACCCTCAGCCCAGGGAGTGCTCGGGGGCCCTGCGCCAAGCCTACCTGTGGACCGGCATGCAGCTGGTTCTCTAGATGAGTGGTTTCATGTCCTGCAGCCAGGCCAGGTAAGGGGAATTGTACCTGCCTCAACCTGGTCCCCCTCCTGAGGAAGCAAGGCACCGTTTGCTGCGGTGTGCCCGAGTCTGAGTTGTTCCTGGTGCTCATCACGCCAGACCTGAGGTGAGTGTCCCACAGGAGGAATTCCAGCCCTGGCAGCCCCACTCTCACCCTCAGGCAATCCTACCAGTTCCCTAGGTGCCAAGGAGGCAGGCCTGCCTGGGAACGCTGGCCTGGGGCTTCCTGGCTAATTTCCATGGATGCATTCATTTCGGAGTGGCGGGTCTTCTGGGGTAGACTGAAAAAGCCCATCCTGAACTCTTTTCTTGAAGCTTCTGTATCAAACCTTGTTAAAATATGGAGAAGGCCAGGCAGTTCTGTGTCTGCCCTAAAATAAATTTCCCAGAGGAGCCTTTTTAGAAACCTGAATAGCCAGCAACGCTGTTGGGAGCAAGTGTCAGAATGTGGTGTATGCGATGACACAGTAAGGGATGACTCAGTGAGGTGACCTGCATCATAGAAACGGCTGGTGCTCTGAACACCATCCTTTTTTATGGGCCAGGGAGGTGGAACCAACTGGCCTAGTAAATGATCCTGGCAGGAGAAAGTGAGGAGCAGGGGGGGGCGGGGAAGGCCAGGGGTCCTCTTGCAGCCAGGGACTGAGGGACTGCAGAAGGTGGCAGTGACATAGTAGGCAAGGATGGGGACATAGTAAAGGGATACCACCTGGCCCGTTGATATTTCCCAATTCTCCTAGTTTCTTTGTTTTTTATAAAAAATATATATTTGTATTGATTTCAGAGAGGAAGGGAGAGGGAGAGAGAGGTAGAAACATCGATGATGAGAGAATCACTGATCGGCTGCCTCCTGCATGCCCCATACTGGGGATCAAACCTGCAACCCAGGCCTGTATCCTGACAGGGAATCAAACGGTGACCTCCTGGTTCATAGGTCAACACTCAACCCAATTCTCCCAGTTTCTTGAATGAAAAACTAGTATTTATGCTTAAAAGGAGTTTCCCCATGAGTGATTTAGGGAAATTCTGACAGTCCTAGTCTCATGGGGTGGGGTTGCAAGTGCAAACACAGTCTTGTTCATTGGGGCACAAGAAGTCAGGGCTGGTGGAAAGCCTGGCTTCAACCAGCATTCACACAAGTTCAATTTCATTTCCTCGGTCACCAGGCCCCGAGTCTCAACACACAGCATTGGCAGGATTCCTAAAGGACTTCTGTTATGTAGACACAGGGTTACTTTGCCTACTGACTTAGAGCCTTCCCCACACGCGCTGAGGTGGAGAGGGAGGCAGCAGTCGGATCACAAAGGGCCTTGTGTCCCAAAGAGAGGAGTCGGAGCTTTCTTCGGTTGGTTCGTGGGGACTAGCAGAGGTCTTTGAACAGGAAACTCTGTCATTCGCTTTGTTTTTTTAGGACCGCCCTGGGAATTCCTCCTTCCTCACAGTCCTGTGTGTATAAATGAAGTTACATTGATGGTGAGATCTGTTTTACTTTTGTAATTTCACACGGTCACACGCCACGTAACAGCAGGGATGTGCTCTGAGAAGTACATTTTTAGGTGATCTCATACTTGTGCAAACACAGACTGGTCTAGAACCTAGATGGCCTAGCCTGCTACACACCTGGGCTACATGGTAGAGCCTACTGCTCCCACACTACAAGCATGTACAGCACATTACGGCACAAATCAAGCACAAGAGAAAATGATGTAATTAAAGGACATAGTAAGCTCCAGATGTATGAGGCTGCAGCCAGCATAACCCAGCATGCTATTTTATGGCAAACTTTTTTTTTCTTGTAAGTAGAAAATAACTCTAAAATGTATAGTGCAGTAAATCCATAAACCAATAGCAGTCATTTGTTGTCATTACTGTGCATTATGTACTGTTCATAATTGTCCATACTTTGACAGACGGGCAGCCCAGGTGTGTTTACACCAGCATCACCACAAACACCTGAGGAATGCGTGCACTACGACGTTACCACGGCTACGACGTCAGCACTTGACGACAGCTGACGTCACTAGGCGGTAGGAATTTTCCGTGCCATGATAATCTATGGAACCACCATTGCACATGCGTACTTGGTCGGCCATTGTGAGGTCACTATGCTGCACTTGACTGTACGCCCCTGCCGCCTGCTGAAGGACCCCACCCGACTAGATGTCTCAGGGAGACCCCGGGGGCGGGGGTGGGGCGCCTCCTGCTGGTAATTCCGGTGTCTGTTGCTGCTAAGCTACTTCCCAGCTCTCGGCCTCCATTCAGACCCCCTGCGCCCACCGCTTCAGCAGGTAGGGGCGCTGCTTCTGTGTTCTGTCCTGTTAGATGGCCCCACAACAGGGTGACTTAGCCCCACGAATGTCACCAGGGTGCCACACTTTCTCTTTATGAAGACTTTTTATTTAGAGAAGTTGAAGGTTCACAATCAAACTTCTTTATTTTTTTTAGCTTGAGATCCACCACTTTCCTCCCAGCGCACGGAGCTGGATTTGAGGCTCACTTTGAAAGAAAGGCTGGTTTGGGCTGTTGCTGGAAGCTTTTCAGCCGTCCCCAAGGCTGGCCATCAGCAACTAGAAATATTTTAGAAGGCAAATTGAATTTGGGCAGTGTTTCCATTGTGAATGCTGTGTTTCTCTTTTTCGGTGTCAATAATTATGTACAGGAAGGTAGGGGACATAGTGGCTATGGGCGGGTCCTGATATCAAACTGCTAAAATAGCTCAGATCCTCCTTTTGCCCCGCCCTGTGCGACCTTGCACAAGTGACTTTGCTGTGTCTCAGTTTCCTCATCTGTCAAATGGGAGTAATAAACCAATAACTATTACCTAGAATTGTGAAGATTAAGTGGATGAATAAAGTTTAAACACAGTGGTGAAGAAGGTGAGAATCATTCTGACAGGAAGAGAGGGAATGTGGATGGTACGACTGCAGTGGAGTAGGAGTTGTTGAATTCATGGGACTTGCAGACCGGTGGAGCTGTGGGACACTGCTTTGCTTTTCAAATGAACATGATTGCAGGAGGTTGGAGAGTGTTTTTCTGTGGGTAAGATTAAGGTGAAGGCCGACAATTATTTTTATGGGGAATTTAAAATGTAGCTTTGCCCAGAATCAGGGGAATAGATGATTTAACCTGGACAAGTATTGCCTCTGTGAGCTTATATGGCTCTTATCACGGGGTACGGAGGAGTTTGAGCTATTAAAACAGACAAGTTGCAAAATGAAGAAATTATGCCCCTTGTACTCGTGCACTCTGGTGGTTCTGAGAGCAAGGGGCCTGCAGGCTCCGAGACTAATTAAAGAGCAGCTAGGAGCCCCCAGGTCTCCTCGGGCAGCAGAGGTTCCAGGGGCAGCTAGTTTTTCTCACCTGACCTTGGAGCCTGGGGCTGCTGCTCTGTGTTTAGCCTGGGAGGCGGAAGTATCCTGATGAAGTTCATTGTCTTAAGCTCTTATCCTTGTTTATAGGCAGGAAATGCAGTGGGACTGCTAGAACCCCAAGAGGCCATCCAAACCTAATATTCCAGCGATTCTGTGCCCCCCACAGTAGGTAGGACAGGTGACCAGACTGGATGGTACTCTGTGCAGAAGGCGACCAGCCACCAAGACAAGGGGTGTTCTTCCCACACCTCAACCCTCCATTTTTTTGTGTGTAATTTTTTCTTCATTATCAAAAGCTTAATAACATTAAAACTTTAATAATTAAATTAAGGCAATTGTAGAAAAAGAAAGAAAATCTCACACAGTTCCGTTTGCACATTCCCCTTCAGTCTTAGTCATGTTGTGAATATAGTTTTAAAGATTTGAAACCAATATAATGGACACCATGCAGTCTGGTGCTCATTCAACAGCATCATGTCATAAGCATCATTAGTGTTGCTATGTGATTCCATAATTATTTTTCAGAGCTTTATGACAAATATCCCATTGAGTTACTAGACCATCATTTGTTTAGTCATTCCCTGTTAATGGACATTTAGATAATTTTCCACTTGTGATGGTGACTGCTCTGGGAACATGTTTGTTATTTATAGTCAGTTTCTCCTATTAAATTCTTCCTTTGGATAAAATATAGGGGGTGGGCTGACTGGGTTGAAAGGTGTGAATATCTTTTCTTCTTCTTACCATGTATTATCTTCCAAAAGGAATGAACCAATTTCCAGTGTTACTGGCTATGTATCATGGTACTATTTCTTTCCCAACTTCTCTCATGTTGGCTGTTGCCATTCAAATTTGTATTATTCATTTTTATAGCGAAACCTTAGGACCCCACATGTGCTTCAAGTGCATTTCCTGTATCATCACCGTCTTCCCTGCACATGGCCCTGTCATCCAGGAGGATCTGCAGTCCACCATGCCCTGCTGGCCTTAGCGTTTTAGAACATCCCTATACCACCAACTTGATTCTGAATCTGTTTTCACTGATTCTTAAACCAGGTCTGGAGTCTCCCTGCCTGCCTCTGGCTCCTGCCAGATTTGATTCTCTTCCACATTCTTCTAGTGTGGCACATTTTCTGTCCAGTTAACTCCTACAGTTGTTTCCATTACAGAGTTACTGTTCCATGCTCTCTGGACAGCATTCCTCCTCTTGCTGGTGAGCACTGATTTAGACAATTAGTGCATGTAGCAGGGAAGAACATTCCCCATATGTTTGATTATAATGTGTCTTCTCTTAACAGGACTTGTCTTTGTTTTTTTTTGCCATTTCATTCATTCATCCATTCATTCATTCATTCCAGCAAATATTACTTGAGTGCTTAAAATATTCTGGATGGTACAGATATGAGTGAAGATATAGTTTCTGCCCTCATCATATTTTGCTGGGTACACACACTATTCACAAGCAATTCAATGAGTGATTAATATATCAGGCAGTGATTAAGTGCCAAGGAGACAAAAATAGGGTAAAGGGACAGAGAATGCTGGAGAAATGCAGGCAATGGTGTCCTGGAGCTGGTGTGTACCAGCTCCTGAAAATTGTGTGTATACCTCTTTCCAGCCCATATTTAATTATCTCCTGTTGGCAGCTTGACATCGGCCACCATGGAAGTATTTACATCACACACATTAAATACTACCATTCAGGAGCAACTGGTTGTTAAACTTTCCTCAGCACACACTGGATATGGGGTTGCTATTTTGTATGGGTTAGTTAGGGAAAACCTCACTGAGAAGATAACATTTGACCTGGAGCGGGTGAGGGAGGGGGACATATGGGTATCTGGGCAAGAGCATTCCAGACAGAGGGAACAGCCAGCGCAAAGCCCTGAGGCAGGTTGTGGTTGGCATGCTTTAGAAAAAAAAGGAGACCAGTGTGGCTGACGCAGATTTGGAAGTGGTGGGGAGCAGGAAGAAGGGTGCTAAATGATGGGGGGGGGGGGTAAGGGGAAGACTGGGAGGAGATAAGAGCAGATATAGGCCTTGTAGATCATTGTAAATATTCTGGCTTTTACTCCTGATTTGAGATGAAAGTCGCTGGAGGATTTTGAGCTGGGCAGTGTCATATTATGATTTATGTTTTAAAAGGATTGCCCTGGCTCCTGTGTTGAGAGCAAAACTGTAGGAGGGCAGAATTCCAATCATTAACAGGTGACTGAGATAAGCCAGGAAGGAGCTGATGGTTGTTTGGATTGGTAGTGGAGGTGAAGAAATGTTTAGATTCTGAATACCTCGTCAAGGAAGAACCCACAGTATTTGCTGATGGATCCGTTATGCTGTGTGTGCTAAAGAATCAGGATGATCCCTTTCTATTAAGGCATTTTCTTTTCTTTTTTAAAGTTGGAAAACATTTTTTATTTTTTAAAATGTATCTTTATTGTGGAAAGTATTACAGATGTCCTCCCTTTCTCCCCATTGACCCCCTCCACCACAGTCCCGCCCCTTCCCCAGGCCTTCACCACACTATTGTCTGTGCCCATGGGTTATGTATATATGCACATAAATTATCTGGTTTATCTCTTCCTTCCCACCCCCCACCCCCGCTTCCCTTTGAAATGTCAGTCTGTTGCATGCTTCAATGTCTCTGAGTCTGTTTTGTTCGTCAGTTTAATTTGTTCATTAGATTCCACATATAAGTAAGATCATGTGATACTTGTCGAGGCCTTTTCTTATAGTAATCTTAAAGAAAGTATTTTAGTTGAGGGAAATTTGAGGCATGGTGGCAGAATCTATACCCAGCTCTTTGATTTATACTTCATTCTTCTACACAAATCTTATTCTGAGGAAAGATCTCTTTTTGACTATGTGTGATACCAAGCAGTTCAGTTTTAAGTAACCCAACCACGCACAAACTGTGGGGAGAATGCTGGAGGCCCATAGAATTCATTCTCCCCTCACTTTATACATAGCAGCAGAAGTTATGTCGGCTGTGAGGCAGTTAGATGTACCTCTAGGACCTAGTATGGGCCAAGGGAAGGTGAGTGAAAGTATCACTCCAGGTGAATGCCACACAAGAGAAGACATTTTTCCTCTCCCTCTACCCCCTAAACTCAAATCCCGATGTCAGATGTGCCGATGACTTGACTTTGACCATGAGCCAAGAACTGTGGACCAATAAAATACAGAAACCAAGGTTCTGAGATAATCATGTAGAGCCGTTACCCCTCACTACTTCCCTTAGAACTGCTTTATGAGAGAAAATACAATATTTTTTAGGTCATAGATTCTTGGGGGTCTTTCTGGTACAGCAGCTTAACCTTTACCCTACCTAATATAAGAGCCAATTCCAGAACCAACCAACCAACAGAAAGTAGAAAGTGGCCTACTCCAACCGAGGAAGGAAGCCTAAAGGATCAGAACGTTTACACAGGTGCACGGAGAGGAAGACCAAGGACAAAGGACTGTCTAGTAGCTGGACACACCGACAGAAGGCTGGCCAGGATTTTAGGTGGAAACAGTGGGAACAGATTTACACTGGTAATAGTGAGTAGATGGACATTGGGTAACGCAGAGGAAAGAATGCTGGAGTTTTAAGGCAGGAAGAATTTGTTAGCACAAGACCAGTTTTACTGGAAAGTGGGGGCTGGGGTAGAAAGCTGAGAGGGGAAGATGTTCTACCGTGGAGGCAGCAACATGTGAGAAACCATCCTGTGAGAAGATACTCTTGCCGTCACTAAGAAGGTGCGTAGGGACAACCCAGTGGGTCTTTTGAAAATATGTCTTTTATTGGCCATGCACTAACCTTGATCTATGCTAAAGGAGGGGGGAAAAGACACCTAACAACCTTCCCCATTAAAGTTAATGGGGAATCGCCTATAAAGTCTACGGGCAGAATATGGCATGATGAATCTGTATGATTATTTCATGACGCTTCCAGAGATAAATAAGGCTCTTAAGAGACGTGTTTATTGGTGAACAATTTATGTCAGTGTACATACCATCAGCTGGAATGTAATACACAATTGCTGAGGATAAGACAGGAAACGATTACCAAGTTTGGCTCCAGCTGGTGCTGCACCCGTGGGAATGCCGTGAATAATGGCCGAATCACAATGAAGATAAATTGGTGCACTGGGCAAACACTTCCAGGGAACTAACAGAATCTCTCTAAGGAGCTGGTATTCCCTTGAAGGCCACTTTGGAGGGCAGGTCCATGTCTTTGGCAGGAGGAAAGGAGCCATGGCCTCATGCTCCAGGGTCCTGTCTAGGTACCTGTGTGAACCTGAGTTTCAGCTGAGCCACTGGACTTCCGTCTTCCGTCTTCCCCATAGCCCTCTGGGTGTCTGCAGCTGGAAGAGCTCTGCCCACTTCCCTTCTCGCTGAATCTCCACTTTGTCATTCTGAGGGGGCATTCCTATAGTTCAGTTCCTTACCTCCCACGTATGTCTACATCTTCCATGGTTTGACTCTCACTCCCCCACTCTTCAGAGGCTGCTCTTGCCCCTGCTGCACAGTGTGGCAGGGAATAAGCACAGAAGTGCTCTGCTTTCCAGCCCACATCACACTAGTCCCCACTTTTATTTACTGCTCATGATGTTCCCGTTCCACACAGCACCTTCCCATAGTTCACCACTTTTAGGGTTCATTTCAGGTGTCAGTTGTCCCACCTCCTTTTCCCTCCAATTCTTCGGGGTAGCTTGAATAGGTAGAGGCAGTAGAGAAGACCATCTAGGGAAGCATGAAGTGATTACTAATAGAGCTTATGGTAATCCACTTGTGGTATATCATTGGCAAAAATGACCACAAGTATCCCCCCTTCACGTAACCGTGTTGCTATGCAATCTGACTTTGTAGCTCTTTCAGTCAAGACGTGAAGTCTGTTTCCCTACCTCTTGAATCGGGGTTGGCTTTAAGGCTTGCTGTAGCCAATAGAAAGTGGCAGAAGTGACACTGTGTCAGGTGAGTCTAGGCCTCAAGAGGCTTTGTGGACTTCTCTCTCCTAAAGACCAGTCCAGTCATGTGGACAGGCCCAGGCTAGCCAGCTGGATGATGAGAGACGAAATGGATAGGAAATGAGTCAGTCCAGTTGTCCAGGGCAGGCCTCAGAAATGTGAGGGCTCGGTGAATACCAGCAAAGCCAACCAACAGCTGACCCGCCCTTGACTGCAGATGTGTGAGGGAGCCCAGCCAAGAACAGAAGGACCGCCCAGCTGAGCCCATCCCCAATGCCAGGATAGCAGGTTCTTGAATAATGTCGTTTTGTTATAACATTGATAAGATGCTCTAGGAACTCAACTCTGGTTTATAGCATCAGCCTAGGGTAAAATTGGTTCCATTATACATGTTTTCCCTTAAAGTCCAAGAACCTACAGATGACGTTAAGTGAGGACTGACTTTACATAGCATCGTGTGAGCTAGATAAATGCTGTGGTTTTAGGCCACGTAGTTTTGGGGTTGTTTGTTATGTAGCAATAGATAACTAACATTATTTAACAAAGTTGGATGGGGTCTGAGAATCTGAAATGGTGATGTGTGTTCCTTTCCCTAAAAAAAATTTCATTGTCTTTTAATTAATTTTACTAGCTATTATAGGGGGACATTTCTGGCTAATGTCTAAGTTAGTGGCACAGCTGATGAATTCCAAAAGCCTAGTTCCATAGTCCCTCGCATCTTTGGACATTATCCCCAAGGAGAGACAGTACCTATGGTTACCCTACCACAGAGGATCGGAGGTGTGCAAGGATGGATAGGCATAGAAGGCCGACTATGGCACTGACAAGACTAAACTTGAAACCTGACACTGACTAACCTCTTTGAGCCTCAGTTTCTTCATCAGTAAACTGGGAACAGCAATACTGGCCTCCCAGGGTCATTGTTAGGATTACATGAGATAGTCCGTGATCAGGGCTCAGCAACCTATAGGATTGGGAGGTCAAGCTGGGAAGCCTGGAGTAACTGAGGAGCTTAGAAAAGATGTGTCCTCCCACCTGAATGAGGAGACCGTCCCAATGCCTTCTTGCCAGGGACAGGCCTCAGTTAAGATCATCCCAGGGCCATCTGAGAAGATCTGGGGCAGGTAGAACTTCCCCTTTGCTCAGAAATCATGCACCTGGCAGTGGGTCCCGCCTTTAAAGGCTTAGTGATGTCCTGGTCAGGACAGGGCTGTGCTCTTGGCAAACCATCTCTGCCCTTTGTGCTGGCGATGTAGTGTTTAGTGAATTCCTTCCTGTTTTTGAGCCCAGAAATGATTGTCTTGGTGGCCAGGGTATGTGTTTTCCCCAGAAGAACATATAAGTAGGGACTGATTTGCTCATTTGCATCTAGTTCGCTCCTGCTTCCTGCCCCTCTGTCCCCATCTGCACCCCCAGGCCTCAACATTGCTCCAATTCCTGTGGGTCTGCAGGCTGAGCCCGGGCTGTGGATTTACGTCCATCAGAAGTCTGATTGAGGGTTAGGAGACATCCTTTGGGATGTGATGACAATCACAGGCACAGACCCTACAGTTGTGGCTGCTGTTTCTTTTCATAGACCATTCCCAGGAGGCCTCCATCCTAAGCCGTTGCCAATATCTGCCCAAAGCAGCATATTTCTCCATAGCTCTAGAAAACTTTAAAGGGAAAACACTGAAGCTTTGGGTTGTCTGTTCTTTTTGTCATCCCCTATATCAGTGGTTCTCAACCTTCTGGCCCTTTAAATACAGTTCCTCATGTTGTGACCCAACCATAAAATTATTTTCGTTGCTACTTCATAACTGTAATGTTGCTACTGTTATGAATCGCAATGTAAATATCTGATATGCAGGATGGTCTTAGGCGACCCCTGTGAAAGGGTCGTTCA